GTGACCGTTAACCACAGCCACATAGAGAGCTGTTTGACCCTTTACATCAACTAGGTCTACCTCGGCTCCCTGGGCGATCAGGTAGGCCACGCAGGCAGCGTGCCCCGCTGTGGCTGCGATCCGCAGAGGGGTACAGGGCAGACAGCCACAGCACCACACGGACTTCTCATTGATACGCCTGGCACCAAGGGAGAGAGGGGAGGGGTTATTAGTTGGATCCCTAGATCAAACATACTGGATCTGTCGTGCTTGAGCTTTTGACTTTCTCTATGAATTTTTGTAGAATAAAAGCAGGCCAATGACCACAAAAACACATAAAAAAAAAGAAACTTAGCACAGTCTTAAAATATCATTGCTGTGCGGTTATCACAATTTAAATATTTACAGCAACTACCTGCTAAAATATACTGCCTTCAACACTTCTGCCTCAGCCAAGTTGGGTTAGGCAGGGCAGGGCGAACCCAATAAATTTTATTGAAATAGCAGCATGTTGCAAACCATGTGGGACGGAGATGAACTGGCGTAAGTGAGTAATAATGGGTTGGCTGGGTGTGGAGATTGGGAGCAAGTATGAGTGTGGCGTGCAACCACTGTGGGATTGGGGTTAAGTGAGTGCTGACCATTCTACAATGGTCCTGCCTGGCCCTGAAACTGTGAGCATTAAAAGTTTCATTACCTGTAGGGATAGTAAGCCAATACCCCTCTGGCCATCAACGATAAACCATGAAGCACGCATTGATAAAAGGACATGTTTGGTAGTGCAAGACTGTTTTATGGTAGAGATGTGTATGGACATATTCTGTACAGCAGTGGTTCTCAAAGGGGCCCTTGAGGGGGTCCCCAGCATTCTGCATTTAGCTTGGCTTTTATCATTTGCTTTACACTTATCCTGGTAAAGCACTAACAAAAGCTGTTTGCTACGCAAATTCAATTTTACTATTATCATCACTCCCTCCCACCGTTTGAAGCTGTCTTCCTGCAGCAGGTTCCTCAGGGTGTCCAGATCGCCGACGTAGGCTGTATTGTGTAGCCGCATGTCGTCCTGCTCCAGTGGTTTGTCGCAAAACTGCTCCTGGAGCCATTCCTTTAGGTTACGGCCTGGTGAGGAGGACACACAGAAAAACTGTCCAACTATGGCTTGTTGTGCACTTGCCATAAATCATCATTTGTCACCTACGTAAAAATACTGAATTGCTTGCACACTTACAATAGATAGTACATCAGATCTTTCTTTTTTTTTTGAGCTAACGTATGGTATATACTCCTTAAATGATTTTTCGGCTCCCACAGCACAGATCTTCATGTTTAGTGAAAATACACCCAGCATTTGTTGAGGACCATGCACTGAGAGCTTCTATCACTGCATATTATTTTGTTACATGACTGCACAAACGTCCTTGCTGAATGTGGGAAGATTGCCCAGTTGTGCCTTAAAAGTACTCCTCATGTTTCTGGGGAGCTCCTGAAACCTCTGGTGGACAGCTGGCACCTCCTTGGGCTCCTAATGGGACCCACACACAGCAGTTGTAACAAGAGCACCATAAATCAAGACCTCTCTGACACAGTCTAATGAGAAATTGAACACAAGCTCCCTAGATGTAATTATTGCAGGGCTACGGTGTGGAATTGCATTTCATTGTACAGGAGTATTGTGTCCACCGCTTGTAGTAAATACTGCATATGAGCTCTCTTATCCAAATACATCCATATAACAACATCATCTGTCGGCTATGATAACAAAAATGCAGATTGGCAATTGGCTGCAACCGATCTCTCCCTCCAGACAGACTGTCGTGGACCACACCTTATTACACAGGAGAAACCTTTAACAACGCCACACATCTGTATTATTGTTGTCATGCTCACTGAAGTTATTGCACGCACACTGCACGTGGAGCACACACGCGCCCCTGGCAGGAGCGATGACTCATCGTGCACAGTTGATTCAGCCGTGGTTACCTGCAGCAGTGGCACTGGGCAGATCAGAGATGGTAATGAGCGGTGGGAAGTTGATACTGGGCGGCTCGTCTGCATCACCCTCCGGACCGTCGGCCATGCTCCTGAGATGTCACGCCGTCAACCTGAAACTATAGTACTTCGGCGGTGGATCGACAGCGGTTCCCCCCCCCACACACAAAAAAAATACACGAAACCCAACGACCGAAATCAGACAAGACACATCAAAATAAACAAACGTGACCGTGCTGATGACGCTGTCTGTTCAGCTCACTGCGCAGCTTCCTGACTGCGCGCAGCCGGACGGATTTAAAGGGGAAACGTCGCTTTAAACGCCCGGACAGCAGTGAGGGGAACATGACCACTGTTTCTGGAGACTTTTAACACCTTATAAAAGGCAGACAAGTCAATTACAAACTGTTAAATACATATATAAACATAAGCAATTCACACACATGTATGCTTAGTAAAAGAAATACTTTTTATTTTAAAAAAACAGTACAGAATTGAACAAAAGCCAAGAACAGTAGCCAGGATTTTTAGAAATACTAAAGACAAAGTAGCCCACAGATGGACAGATTTATTTTATTTGTTAAGCCTATAACCAGTAAAATTTAAATTATATATTGGAATCAGCCCATTCATACTTTTTTTTTTGTAGGATGTAACACACATGTCCTCTGCATCATTTATATTAGCCTAGTTGTTAGAATATTGTGGTCATAACATACAGCAGGAGGATATATAGGCCAATATAACTTATAAACAGATACCAATACAGAAACTACACTCAAAATACTGTCCGAGGCACATTATGGTACATTAGGTCAAAGAGGAGTACCAGAAGTCCTCATGATAATGATTTACATGATCAAGGAAAGGAGTTTACTTATTAACTCTTACAGCTTCTACAAACTCTATATCCATGTTTCTGTGTACTCAAGTAATAGGCATTCTGTTTAGCTGCTGGTCGCATGTAGGCAGTAACTGCAGAATGTATACCTTAAGTGCAGTGCCACCCTTCTTTTCACCCGTCATTTTTAGGTGGGTAACACACACCAGGGAAGCATGCAGACATGACGCTATGCTGCCTGATGACAGATGAACCTTCCACACTGAGGACCTGGTGATGCTCTAAAAATAAACAGGTCAACAGTGCCATGTGAGGGGTCGTTTACTGACTTCCAGCTCTGTGAAGACATGGCTGTTTCAAGGAGGATAACTAGACAATTCTGAAATGCCATTAATTAGTTTAATTGTATTTATGAACAGCTAGCAGTGTGTTTGGCTCACAGAGTTGATCACACTTGCAACACTCAGAACAATAACCATTTGATAGTAATTTAATTGAAGCAGAACACAAACAAAGTCAGTTTGGAGAGGATATAAGTGTAGTTAATATTCGAGATTAAAGTAGAAAAAGTTATTGGGCCTTTTAGTTTGGCCTAACACAGGGATTAGGTAAATGTAGGCAACAAAAGTAAAAGTAAAAGGTGTAGTCACTCATTAGCAGCGTGGTCCATTGTGATATTCAAGGGAAAATTCAAGAGCCTTTTTTGATAGTTAAGGGGCAGTCGTGTCTTAAGTCACTTTTTCTTTGTGGAGCCCCACAGTTAAAAGGGAAATGCAGATGGAATATAAAGCTGTCCTTTCTTTGGACTGTGCTGTAGTCTTTTTTTTAATCCATCTGTTGAGACTGGGGCCAGCGTCTTTGCTGAAAGCAGGTGTCCATGCCTTCTGCAAGGGGCCTTTGGCTAAATCTCTGACTTGCATCACTTATGTTCTGTCCAAATCTTGCTTAATTGCTGTTAAAGGGCCTTCCTAATATGCTTTTTGTGCATGTTGCAGCTGTTTCATGGCTTTCCAGGGAAACGTTGCTGCTAATGTTACTTGAGGGTCTCCGTGTCGGAGAAGGCTTCAAAAGAAACAAGTCTCGTTGAGTGTGACTTGGCCGTGCCAGACGCCACAAGGACTTCACATAAACTCGTCAAAAACACAAACCAGGGTCATTTATCATTTTGGTCAGCAATCCACACCTCTATTCTAAGGCTAACTTAACTGTGAGTCTGTTGCTTTCTCTTAACTACTCCGAGCACTACTCTTACAAAAACAAGAGGAGACAAATGTTTATTACAATGTAACCATTTATTTCACTCCACTACAAAATTATATAATTATTTAAACTATAATACAATCTCCACATATACATAATGTACAGTTTAAAGAGAAACAGAGCATATGATACAAATAGTTTACAGTGTAAATTGTACTTTCATATAAGACATGAACACACAGTTCCTCACTTTTCTAGGAGTGTTGCTTGTAAGATTTTTTTTATGTTTAATGTATTTGTAATTAGCATTTATATTTGAAGGACTAAATATAATACTGAGATGAAAACGGAGTACAATCAGACTAAATGAGATAACGTTTTTACTGTTGAATAGCTCTCAAAGCGATCAGTCAAATGAATAGTATCAGTGTAAATTCTTCCCACTGAAGCAATGCAGTGTGCGCCGTTTTCAAAAGATAATATCAGTGTCATTTTGAACGTTTTCCTGTAGCCATCGATGCCAATAAACAGTTCCATTAAACACAATTTGCTAGTCAGAAGCTAAACATTTCAATTTCAGACATTAGTAATGTCAGAGAGCTGATTTATGAGACGTGGTGCCACCTTTCCTCTCGGTAACACACTGCAGGAAAAACCATGTTTTGGCAGAAAATATATTTTCTGGAGGTCTATGCAGAGAAGAGTGGGTCTAGCTACAGTATGAATGGTCATCACATTCACATCTGAAAAAGTTTAACTAGGTTTGATACAACTGGGCATGACAAAAAAAAGTATGAATTTTTAAAGTTATCGGTTTACATTCATCAATGTTTTTTAATATTTTCCTGTAAACATTGGCAGTATGTATCTTCAGGGAGGCCAATCTGCAGTACAACTGGCAGCTGCACTTTCATTACCACATGGTCAACATAGATGGCGGGAAAACTGGGCCAGTGGTTACTTTCAGTCCCACGTCTCTACCGTCCATTGTCCAGCTTCAATTATCAGCCCGGTATTGCTTCATATTTTCATACATCTGTACATTTCTCAAAGTCACAAAAGGAGCTAAGAATTGAAGGTTCACACAAAAAGTTGCCATCTGACCAAATGTTGTCTCTGTCCCGAAAAAGAAACAGTTTGGCAAATCCTACAGTACAAATAAAATGGAGGGTCCTCCACAATGGCAGACACTGCAAGGAGAGTGAGTACACGCTTACCTTTCCCTGAAGTATATTAGTGTGTCTATGTTTTAGAAGATATCTATCAGAGAGAGAAGAACAAATTGTAACACTGCTTTGCTGCCAAAAAGCTTTATCCAAGCAACTTAGAAGTACCTCCCTTATCAAAGTGCAGCGGTGCTTCTAAAGTGGAAGAGCGAAATAACAATAGATGAACTGTGATCGGTTTTTACAAGATGGGATCAGGTTGTTGTAAGCACAGGAAAATGTTGCTGAAAACAGTCTAAATGTTTTTGGTCTTTTTTCATTTTTTAGGGAGGGTAGCTTGAAAGAAAATGTTTAAAAGATAAATGAAACATCGGCATGACATGTAAAAGGTCCCAGGACAAACTCAAACCAGGATACCACATAGAAAATGTATTTGGACATTTCCTCACGGAAAACAGCAAATCAGAAGCCTGCTTACTGCTCCAAAGAACCTACACGTCCTGTGTAGTACGTGTAGTAGTAAGTTAGGCAATGAAACACAACGAAACTAAATGTGCCACACTCCAAAAAACTGTTCTTCTAGGCTAATAAAAAAAAATGATATGGGTTTTAAAGTTGGTCCAGTGATTGCTGAGTGTACAGCAAATCAAGCTCAGGTTAATTATTGTTCATTTTAGAATATATAGCTTTTTATGAACAGACCCAGCATTAAATATAACTATCTAGTTTAACTTTCAGGTCATGAGCTGTGCACTGGCTCATTCCACAAAGGCACCATTACAGAAAAGGGATAACACATGGGGTACTGTTAGTGTGCAGAGCAGAAAGATATTTTATTCATGTATTTACCTGTCAGTCTCAGCAGGTGTTAGATGAGAGACAGACCTCCAAACCATCATAGAGAGCTTTCATTTATCAAAATCTGACTGATGGTGTCTAATATGTTTGTGTCCATCCCCTCTCTGACAAAACCCCTAAAAGTGCAATGTTTGGTCCCATCCTACATCATCAAGAAAATTGGTCTTACCATTATTCTGAAGGAGAAACCGTTTATCACTAAATCTTCACATCTTTAGTGCATTTTTCAGGAAAGTTTTTCTTTGTAGACCTTGTGTCTCACTTCAGGTTCTGGAAGAAAAGTTGATTCCAGTCACCATCTTCTGAATCTTCTCTTCATTCTTCAGTATATTGGACCTTACAGCACAAATCTTGTCCTGCTGGTCCCTGATCAGCTGCTCCAGCTCAGCTAGTTCTGCCTTAAGAGGCTCCACTGCCCTGTCTGTCGCTCTGCAGAATTTACAAGCATGACACACACACAGAAACACAGAAGGGATGATTCATTACCGACATGCAATAATTTTATTTATTCATTTCATTTTATTTATATATCGCAAGCAGAATTGTATATGATGTTTTGGAATCTGTAAATGAGAGCGTGAGTCTGTCAATGAACTAGCAATGAAGTATATTGCCATATTGTTATGGATGTGCCAAACCAACCTCTGCTCCTGCAGCAAGGCCTGTGCATGCTCTTTGTTCTCCCGTCGCCAGGTGTGCAGTTCAGCCTGCATGGCGTCCATGTCCTCCTGTATGTAGTCCATGATCTTACCCAGAGGCAGGGTGCTGCGGCACACTGTCTGGATGGAGGAGCGGAGCCGCTCTATCTCCCGCGTCACCATGTCCCGCTCCTTCTTCCGTGCTGCTTCAGAGAGCCCATTCTGGAAGTGGAGGTGGTGAACACAGTGGGTGACATTTTTGGTATTGTCAACTTGCGAAGAATTTGAACATTGAATTAAATCTGAAGAGTGTATGATTAAATTAAATGATTAATTTATTTTCATATGCAAGTTTCTCTACAGCCAAGTCTTAATGGGAATTGAAAGAAACAGTTGATATAATCTGCATGATTTAAACAAAACATTATCAAACAGCTGTAGGAACACTAACAAAAATCACTTGTGTCCCTAGACCAAAACATAATAAACCCTCTTTAGGAATTCTGCCTTTGCCAGAAAAGTCTCAAATGACCACAACCAGAGCAGGGCTGCATTTAGTGGTTTAGGATTTCAAGGCTAAAAATGTTGGGCAGGAATTCTACCAACCTAGCTGTATATATAAAGATCAAACGTGCGGCTGAATTGTGTCGGCCAAAGTAGGGTGACTGGTAAATGAAGGCCTCCGGTGTATGGTGTGTGTGTGTGTAATGGGGGGGGTTGTCCATCCATGGTGAAAGGAGGGAAGGTATCAGGAGGACCTCCCTTGGCAGGGAGTAAACCCAAGGATGTTTGCTCAGCTGGGCTTTACCAAGGCCTCTGAGTGTGTGTACACACACACACACACACACACACACACACACACACACACACACACACACACACAGGTTCAGGCGAAGCATACAGTGAACACACAGCCCCCACCCGCACTCTTGGTATTAAGGTCTTGTTTATTTCAGTAACAGGCTGTGGCAGTGGGGTTATTTTACTACAGCAGTAAGTAGCAACTTCAACACTTATGCCTCCTTTTAAGTTCAACTCTTGGCCCAATTTATGCACAGATGGGAACACCTGCCTTCATGAGGCAGCAGAAATTATATCTGCGACAGTGTGTAAACTAAATGACAGTCTCTTCAAAACATACAATCTGTCACAGAGCCTGCTCGGGCAGCCGGCCACATATGCTTGGCATAGCTGGCGCATATAGCATTTGCCTTATCAAGCCAAACATCTCTTGAAACAAACTAAACAGCACAGTAATTACAATTTTAAAAAGGCAGCTGGAATAGACAAGACCACAGTGCAGAAATGACATCAAACATCACCGTTTGCCATTATTGATTTTCAGGAAGCAAGTACAAATTTCTGACAACCTCACTCTTCGTTACCCATTTGTGGTTGTTCGAGAGTGTGAGGGTTGTAACGCCTTAGCCCAGCGGTCCCCTAACAAGGTGGGTGGCTTTCCAATGGGTGCTGTGAACCCTGCAGCTAGACAAACACACTACGGCTCATTCGGCCTGCCTGGCTGCGGTTTGGTCTGCGCAGCCCAGACAGGACCCCCCGCCCCCCTTCTCTGTTGGAAAATAAAAAACTTGGCATGAAAACATGACCCCTGGTTCGTGTGCACTCTGTCCGGGTAGATATAAATCACAGCTTTATGGAGGTCTCTGTCAGGGTCTACGAGACCTGAGTGCTCCTAGTTTTCCTTTTTCTCGCCCAGATCACAGAACAATATTTAGACGTGGTGACCACAGAGGAGGAGGAGGTAAGAGGGGAGGGGGGGCAGATTTTCCCATTATCCCAGACAGTGGCAAAAAGCCCAAGCAATGGGATGACAATGGTGCTAGAAGGGGCAGGTGGACTAAGAGTAGGAAGTTTGGTTTAAAGTGTTTTGTACCTACAGTACAGCTTTGTTAATCGAGATGACCATCTTGCCAAAGTACGTGAGTAAATACCTCAATCTTGTTTTCATCAGCATTCATGTTGTTGTTGAACGGAAACACACTTACTTTTGACTATAAACTCTCTGCTTGGCTCTCCTTCAAAGGAGGGATAACAGAATGAAATTCTCATGGATGTATTGTAACAATAAAATGTGAAATTCACCCAAATGCTTAATAAGCTTAGCTAAGAAATGTGGGCAAAATGGTTATTTATGGACTGCTAATAGGGATTTTATTAGGCAAGAGGAAAACATGCTTCAAAGTATCCTCTGACGAGAAAAATGGCGTGCATGCATAGAACCTGTCAGCAGCAGAGCAACCTCTAGGGTATCATTAGCTGGGAAAACAATGATTTAGACTTTGACTAGTTGTTGGTGCTTCCATCACAAGGGGAGAAGCTTCATTATAGTTTATTCATTCATTAATCAGCCACTCAGTCACTTTGGTCAAAAGGAGAAGATGAGAGACAAATGTACAAACCTCTCATTCTTTGCCCACAATCAATGTATAGCGGTTACAATAGGTTGTGGCACAGTGTGCTTGATGTCAGTTGTTAAAGACCATCCCTCTTTCTGAACTCACGTGAACTCTTTCATCATCACAAACACAAGTATGACAAAAAAAGGGTCTGTCAAAAGGACATGTAGATCATTAAAGACCACATATAACAACTTGAGAGCTTCTGGGAAGAATTGTACTGGCTACTTGTGGCCATTTGAAGACGCTGATGCACATCCTGATGGTTTTTACAACCTGTCCCTGAGAGCTGAGCCAGGGAGGGAAGCATGGGATGAGAATTGGCTCTGGACGTTGTTTATGGGCTTCCTCACCATTTTTCATAGAAGGCCATTCAAAAGTCTAGCTAGATCATAAAAATAGCTTGAAGTCAGTGAGGTGAGGAGAAAAGCTTATGGCCGATGAGGTTACAGGATGTTGCTGCAAGGGTCATTGTAGCCCCCTTGGGGAGACAACTGAGATCACCACTCTGGGCTACAGGGTGAACTGAAAGGGAACCTCCAAAAAAGGGACCACTAGCCAGTGCTACTACAGTGCTGCTATACTGCAGTACCTGAAAATGGAAACTGTATTTTAAAAAGGTGGTGCATCATTCAGAGGTTCTCATGGGAGAAAAGGGAGTGTGAAGATTTGACTTCTTACATCATAATCAAACTGTGCTGTCAAGGTTGAGGTCTTGTCTGATAACAGCTTGGGAGTGCTTCAGGTAGGTAATCCTCATAACCATGACCAAATTCCTTTAACAAGTCAAAATGACCTCTACAAAAGTAATATGACTAATGGAACGCCACAGGGTCACTTCCTTATGTTTCCACAAAAAAACGCTGTTGCCGATGTTTATGAAGACACAGAGGTCTGCAGAGAGGAGTATTTATTTTCTTGACAAATCTGCAGAGAGTATTCTGGCCCTTCTCCTCCGTGACTCTCACTCAACAGCCATCCATTTGTATGCCACAGGGTTTATTTATACATTAGAAACCTTCATCAAGGCTAATTTGATGGGGGCAAAGAAAAGGGGGAAAAGAGTACACAAAAATTCTTATGAAAACGCAGCTGCTGCAAGGGGCAGATTCTGTCTAAATAAAACGAGAAGTATCTTGGAATAATATACAATACCGCCGAGGGGTCATGAGGAAGGTCACCCCCGAAAATATACAGCAAATTCTTTGGTCACACACACTGTGGTGGGACATGGTTTAATACAATCATTTGACTGTTTAAGAATTCCCTTTATTTACATCAGTACAGCAGTGGGGCTCCTAGGCACTGACATTAACTATAGCAAAATGAATTCAGAAATGACAAAGAACACAAATTATAATAGGGACAATAACATACAGATTTTTGAAAGTGAGAAAGATGTCGCGTCTTAAATCAGGGTGGTTTGTGACTCATTTAGACAGTGTTTTGATAAACTTTGGTGTTTAAAAAAATGAACTGCGGCAGCTGAAATTTCAAACCTGTCATACCACATAGAATGAGGAAGCTCAATATTTACATTTTTAACCCTGCGTGTTTTACCGTGATTACAAGAAAAAGAAAAAGAAAAAAAACACTCGACTCCATTAAGCTGACTTCTCCACCCTTTCATGTCTGGAAGGAAGTCATTATAGTTCTTTATCCAGCTGACGGAGCACGGTCAGGAGGACTGAACAGTTCCTATGTGCTGACATACCTGCTCTAAGCTGACCACGCAGGCCATACAGGATACTCTGAAATGGAGGTTTAGAACCTCTGAAACTCTACAAGGCAAAGCTCATGTTACATAAAGAGCTCCACTATTTTGGATGTGTTGCCTGTGTGTGTCTGTGCATGCATGTACTTGCATAGTTTTTGGGAGATAATTTATTTTTAAGAGATTGTTGAGATGGGCAGAGATTTGTAAACACTAAATTTAAAACGTCAGCATGGTTAAATACTGGGCCTACAAATTCCGGTCAAGCTACTCCAGTTTACTGGTGGCTGAGCTGAGACAATGTCAGGTGTGAGTTATGAGGGAAGATGTCTGAAGCCACAGTCAGGAGAGGGATAGATCAGGGGGCCTTTCTGCATGAGTGACAGTCCAAAACAGGGCATCCATCAGAGTCAGGGTGGTCAGCTAGGAAGGGATGCTGGGAGAGCATGCTTCAGTGACGAGGACCACCCAAAGCAGACAGCGTACGCCACCTCACGCCATGGAGTACAGACCAAACTGTAAGCTTCACACTGATTCACACTCCAAATAATGATGAAAGATGTCTCTCTTTCTCTCTGGCTGATAAATAAGCTGACAGAGGGGAACGCATGAGAAACAGCAGTAATGCATCACCTTGAAAAAGTTGGACTTTCATGTCTAATATAAAGTCTAAATCAAAGAGAAGAAGAAAAGAAAGATATAACTCAACCTGTGTGTGTCTGAGTTTTAATGGAGGACGTTTAGAGACAAAAATACAGCAGGACTGAAAGCCTTTGACTGAAAAACTGGTTGTGCATTGTCCGTTTACTGGATTAAGTCCATACACGGAGAAGGGGTGTGAACAATCAGAACAAGATTGCTCTAAAAGCTAGTTCGCTAAAAAATGGCAAATACCCTCAAACTGTACAAAGAACAGAGAAGTCTGTAATCAAAAAATGTAAGCATACCTAAGATATTGAGCAACCCCAGAAAACAAGCTCATTTTGCTCCAGACATCTTAATGTGTGTGGTCTGTTAGGGGCCATACTTGCTTGTCTGGTTATTAGGCCTTCAGCTTCACTGAAGGGGAACATTTTTGTGGTTAGAAGGTGGTGCAATTACACCTCTCCACTCCATTTGTTTACATCTTTCTTTTGATAATAACCAGTGTTGCACTGGGCATTTCACTGAGGTTAAAACGCTTGCCCTGGAGAGCAAACTTTCCAGAAAGAATGGCTGATTGCACTGATGGTGAGGTTTAACATTTACCTGTATTATGTGTTACAGCTAGAGACAGGCTCAGATAAAGATGAGCTGAGAAGAGAAGAGAACCAGGCTGATACTGCCCTCTAGTGGAACTACTACTATAACTGTACATACCTGTTCTTTAGATTTTGGAGATGGGGACAGCTCATAGTCTTTCTTGGTCTCAAGTATCCTTTTGACTAGGCCACCTACAGTGAGAGAAACAACGAGGGGAAAAGTCAAAGATCTGTTTCCTCAAATTGGCTTAATTCAGCTAGATGAAAAATGGCATTAGTGCTCGTTCAAAAATAAGGGTGAACTAAAAAGAGACACAACTATGACCATGTACCATGTTTGTCTTCACTGTTGAGTTCTTGTGCAGTGTCCTGTAATTGAAAAAAAAAAAAAGTAGATAAGTATCCAAAGCTTTTTTTTATTTTTTTAATTTTTTACCAGTGGTATTTAACAACTCGCTGTTCAAGTCATTTATCACCTCCATCTTAGGAGCATCTGAAGGTGGAGGAACCGCCTCCTCCACGACAAATTGCTCATCGTCGTCCTCCTCATCCTCAGACAGCCGATTTCCATCCATGATGACTGGTGCTGAGGGCTTGGCACTGGTAAGCCTGAAAGACAGAAAGAGCTTGACTCATTTCTTCCTGAAACTTACATATCATATTATACTGTGTGAAAGGCGTCACACCTTTACCATGTAACTGTTGACTGGTTAGACTGGTTAGACTGGTTACCCTCGTTCCACTTGCTCTATTATTATACAGTCACAAACACCATCTTCATCCAGTGTGTTTACTGCATTTTGTTTAATAATCTAAGTCATGATCCATAGGTTTGCTTAACATCCACGCACCCCCTGCAGTTTCAAAACCACTGACTCGTGACATTAATGAATATGTGTGGTGGAGTCACCTCTCAGCTGGGGTCACATCAGTGTAACTTTCCTGTCTCTTGACTCGGGGAGGTGCTGGGCGAGCACTGCTGGGCCGTGGTATTCGCCTGCTGCTGGAGGATGAAAGGATTAGGATGCGTGTGTATTTCTACGAGTAATTTCTATTTTGATTCACGGGCTACACCTTGTGAGACGATACATGTTGCCTGGAAAAACAAACATTCACAATATTAATAACAGTACAGCTGCCCAGACAATTAATTTTAACTGATTAGTAAGTTTAAAAACAGAGCATTCATAATTATAATACATAATTAAAGGCAATTATGTATTATAATTATGAATGCTCTGTTTTTAAAGTAACCTACTGTAACTGACCCTGGCCCAGGAGAAAACCTAACTTTCAAAAGTCAAAACTACCATGATTTTTTTTTTTTAAATAAAGCAACATGAACAATGCAATAACATTCATACACATCATTACACTTCATAAATGTATCATGTATTAAATGGCTATTGCACAATATTGCAATTTATTTTGTTCAGGTTTTGATTATATTGTATCGAGCCTGGTTTATGTCTGTGTTTTACAGATAAATGTGAGAGCAGTAGTGAAAGTGAGATTTTTTTATGTGACAAACAGCTGTGAGCTGTTTTATTTTGTAAGTGAAGAGTAATGTTTGATTAGTACCCCGTACAGTCCCTCAACAAAGCTGTAAGTGCTGTAAGTGTTGACTTCACAGACCTGGAGGCCATGTCGGATGGCACGGAGGAGCCTGCAGTGTCTCCATTTTCCTGGATGGCAGGCCTCTGGGCTAACTGATCATCTCCATCTGTGAATAAGACAACAGTGACTTGAATTATTAATTTGACACACTGTGGCACAATTTCAACAAGGACACAAATTCTGCCATCTAAACTTTTCAGGAACTAATACAAACTGATAAAACTTTATGTTTATATCTATATTACGTCTTTTTGCCACGTACATTTTCTTATTGCAAACCCGACTGTATAATGAGGGGGGATGTGTCCTTGTTTTGCCTCTTGTGGGATTTCTTCCTTTTGTCCATCTGTGGACAAGGGTTTTTTTTTTTTTTTTGAGACATTGTATATGATATTGGCCTTTCATAATAAACTTGCTCAGATGCTTTAACAAAAAATATCATTGCCCTTAATCACCGAGTGTGTCACTCAGTCACTCAATGAGTGATTGCACTGACTTTATGACTCGATGTGTAGCCTGAACCCAAAGGAGCTCTCTGACATTTTGAGAAAGACACTTGCTGTCTGAGTCACATTAGAGGATGATTCATTTGATCAATACTCTCCTTTTCCATTATTGAAGCTTACCAAAACAATCCTCAAAATGCATTTTAGATCAAGTGCACGAGCTCTGCTGTCATGCTGACCCCATTTCCACTTGATAATGAATGTTAAAAACCGTAAAACTTGTTTTTGCATGCAACTGCACAAGAGAGATGAAAAAGGGAACACTTACCTCCCTCGCTGTCAGATTCATCTGTTGAGAGCAGAAAAACACAAGGCATTGTTAGTTCCCTTTTTAATACAACTATAAAAGAAAATCATTACAGAGCACTGTGACACCCTAAGTGTGGGGTGTGAAAAACAGATGAACTGATATTTGTTGAATATTTGTAATACTAAATACTAGATCTTTTTTGGAAAAGTTTTTCTTAATATCAGTTAGATGAAGCTTTTATTACTTCTGCCAACAGTAATCCTGACGAGTCATTCCTACCCCCCACTAAGGGAAACTAGTCAGTTATTTTATTAGACAAGAGTAGTGCAAGCAGAAAGCAGTCAACTGTAAAATCTATTTGGACATACTAAAAAAAAAAAAACTTTCTGCCAATGATTAAAGTTCAGTTATTGTAAACATCCGTAATAACTATGTGAGATATGCCTCATTGGTATAGGTGAGCAAAATAGGGTGTTGGGGTGGAAAAAGAGTTGGGTGGTACCTTGACCTCCAATTTTGGGTCTTCGTCTCTGCCCTTTGGCAGATGAAGGCCGTGGTATTCTAGCTGGACTATCAGACTGTGAGAGAAGGAAAGACGAGCAGGAAAAACGTATACAACTTTAGGGCAATAAGCACTTAAAGGCAACATATCACTCAGTAATTGTCGGTATGATTTGGCTCTCTATTGTGCTAACCATTCAACATTAATCTTTGTTTTTGTTTTTTTTTATCTAAACCTTGGGTACACTGAGCTATGGTATAGTGCTATTAAGCACAAATAAACATGCTGAATTATATTTTAAAGCATGCTACAGACAGAGCTCTCCATGCAAAAACATTCTGGGATGCAGCAACATTCTAGCACAGCACACAGAGCAGCTTCCTTTAGGAAAAACCAAATGACAAAAGTGACTGTTCAGAGAATATGCATTGGGAGCTTCAACAGCAGACATTCTTGCAGAGGCATCATGCAAAGGAACATAATAAAGATGAACAAGAGCCAGGAAGACAAAAAACTATTTTGGGATGCAAAGAAGAAGAAGTAGTGTGAGAACCACCCTCAAAACAGCACCAAACAAAGCATGGCTGGTATTGCTTAGTTGAACATCTCAAGCCTTACTACACACCAACATTTACACTTTACAATGGCAACTTAGTTGTTTTACAGCAGATGTACTGAGAAAGTTCTTACCTGGTTCTCAACTGCTTCTGCAGGCTGCACAGGCAAAGAACACAGCATTACCGCATACACAAAATCTTCACATGTATCAATTACACAGATAACAAGAGAAAATAAGACCTCACAAGTCTGCTAAACACTATTCGACAAGGCCATTGCAGAAGTGACTAGATTCTAACACTAAAACGTCTGCAATACACAGGTCTAATTCTCTACCGATTGTGCAGGGTTTAATAGTTGATTTTGGTTTATAAGAAAAGGTGTTACAATATTTAATTTAACATGTAAAATCAAAATATCTATGTTTGTTGAATTGGCTGACTGGACATACAGGAAACTCTGCCACACCATGATTGCAGATAAGAAAATAAAAATGGCCACAACGATAGACATTATATAACGTGTGGACTTTCTACCAAAAGAGAAGAAAACTTCCAGACTTACCGCTGGCACAGGTTTGGCTGTTTTGCTGGGCTCTTCGTGGCGTGCTTTTTGCTGTAGTTCCTCTGATACTTTGACCTGGGCACAAACATACACACAGAATGTAAAAAACCGCATGTGTTGCTAACATTTAACACATGAGTGGGGTTAAGTGGCATACCTTGCTACTGCCACTCTCTCCATTTTTGTTCCTCTCTTCCCCCTGTTTGTATCGCTCTCTCTCTTTCTCCCGCTCTTTGTCTCTGTCTCTTCGTTTGTCCTTGTCTCTTTCCCGGTCTTTGTGGGAATCCCTCTCTCTCGTCTTTTCTCTGTCTCTCTCTTTGTCTTTTTCCCTTTCTCGATCCCTCTCTTTGTCCTTCTCCTTGTCCCTGTCTTTGACTCGTCCTTTGTCTTTATCCTTGTCCCGCTCCCGGTCGCGGCTCTTGTCTTTGGCGTGGTGGTCCTGCTCACTGCGGTGGTGCTTGTCAGAGCGCTCCCTGTCACGGTGGCTCTCTTTTTCACCATCTCTTCGTCGGCTCTCCTGCTCTTTGGGCGGGTCTGGGTCCTTCTGGTCCTGGCTCCCGCTGCGCTCTGTAATCTTTTTCTTCTCCTGGAAAAGTTCATGTCAGCACAGAGGGTGAGGATTTAATACCAGGCACGGCTACATACTCGAAAACTCATCATTTGATCATCTGACTGATTTTTTTCAAGCCCGCTAATACATTTTACACCATATGCTGGATTGAGCAGATTAACACATTACAATACATGATACAAAACTCCACAATTTGAGTGGCATGAGATCTCTCACCTCTTTATCCAGATGACGTTCACGTCCCTCCCTATTTTCCTTGTCCTGTGACCTGGAGGTGCTGGCCTTTGTCTTCGGGTCCACTTTTTCTCCTGCAAGCACTCGCTTCACCGCATCATCACTGGACATCTGCAGATCAAGTGCAGGAGAATCATTCAATTTAATTTAGCCATAATATCATTAAGTAGCATTAACTGTTAATATATTTAATAAGGAGGTTAAAGCAGCATGCAAACTTCTGCTGTGTGTCCTTAAGCAAAACACTAAAACTGTAACAGTTGAAAAGGCCTGTAGGTGTCATTGACCTCCCTGTGGAAGGGGCAAAGAAAAGGTTTCAAGAGTGCAGCACAAATTAACACTGAGGCAACAATGTAAAAGTTCTATTTACCAGTGTTAAATGTTCTTCAAAGAAAAAGATGGATACAAAAGCTTGGAAAAGAACAAATAAATATCAGAAAAGCTCAGAAAGAAATTCTAATTTTTGTGTTTCTAATTTGAATCAACAGCATGTAGCATGTATTTGACTAGTGGCGCATTCCTTATCTGAATATATCTTACTTTCAGAGCTAAACGCATAAAAGTTGAGAAACTTGACATACCATCTCTAATACAATCGTAATCAAGTGTCTTCAGAACAGCAAAATCAAAGCAAAAATGTTGCATAATATCTGAGATGAATTCATTTAAATTACCAAGGATTGTCTATATGACATGATATCAAAATACTGTTTAAAGAACAACTATCCCCAAGGCACCAACTCATCTGTTTACACTCCACCTCCAGGGTTCAATTAAAACATTTCAAAGCTCTCCCAAAGGTGACTAGAAAATTTCCACAAGAGTATAATATTTTGAAGTTAAAAAAATACCACTGTGAATTTTCTTTTTATGTAGTGCCATACTACATTTGTTCAGGATCAATGAATGAATAGGAGACATTGGAGAGTGAGTGTTTCCCAACCAGCTTTTCAGTTTGTGGATGTGTGTAATTTTGCAAAGAACACAGACCTTGTTGAGGCAGCACTTGGCTATGGCTTGCAGCAGCTCATTGGTTTTCTCAGGCTCATGGCCGGCCACAATGCGTGCTGGCTTGGCTGCCAGGGGCTCACCACTCACCAGCATCACGACATCTATCGCTTTCTGGAGGAAGACTATCTTAGAGTCCTTATCCTAGAAAGAAAAAAATATGCTGTGATGAGCAGGAAAGTGCACAGGAGAGATAAGAGATAGGATGTGGTTGTGAAAGCAAAGGGACTCCAATGGGAGTTATTTTCCAACACACTGTTTTGAATGATTAAACCCTTGAGATACACATATCCTTGCAGTGTTCAACACGAATTACATGCTACAATTCTACATAGTGTGCATAGCCATGCATAGTTACTGTCCTGACACCCAATTTCTGACTATAATTGGCCTAACAATCTCAATATGCGTTCACCCTTTAACTGATTTCCCACCTTTCATTATTAATTTCAAGTGAGAATCTTGGAAGAACAAATATCCACCCCTCCTTTGATTTATTTCTTGCATTCTTGTATGCATGTAAATAAAACAGACCCTAGTCCAGACAAATGACCCGGCTAAGCAGTGCTTCTAGTCTATCAGTCTGCCACATCTAAGAAGCCTGCCAACTGTGTAATATAAGGACTTGTAGCTGGTGCAACCACCTGGGCCTTCTGTGTAACATCTGATAATAGGCTGGCCTATGCAGCGTTGATCCCTTTATTTATGACATTTCTATTGAGTAACCCACTCTTGCACAGGTGCTCTCCAGACAGTTTAATAAAATACATAATTGATGTTAAACATTATACAGAAAGAGAGGTAGTTAATTCAACCCAATGGAGTGCCTTTAAGATAAGAGATGAAAAGGATCAATGTAGAGGAACAACAGTGTGATCTCTAGAGATATGATGTTTTTGATCACATCTTAAAAATCCAATGCAAGTGAGTGACACACACAGTGGTATCCTGGTTACAGTGAACTATAGTTAAAGTTTCATCCCCAGCCAACAGACGTGAAATTTTGGTGTCATCTTTGGACTTAGAACTAATGCTGAAATCAGACCAAATCAGCCTACCTTAATGCAACAAATCACATTCTATGAACACGGTTTAACATTGTTACAACTGAGAATATGGGCACTCATGTCTGAGAGGGTGTCTTGTAGACATGGCTAGCTACCATTTTAGGAATATAGTAATGTTTTTCTTTCCTTCATGCCATCTGCCTGTCTCTTTCTGAAAAAATACATCCCTATTTTAAAGACAAAACATTTTATTTAAAAAAGATCAAATACAAGAACTTGGTTTTTCAAATTTGTTGATTCTGCAAGCGAGCAATATGTTGCAAAAGCAAAGCGTTCAATAAATGAATGAAACATATTTAGGGGAGGTTCTCTCTCTACTCAAACCTGCACTTTTAAATCAACCTGTTACACCTTCTGGGGAAAAGCAGTTCAATTCTAAATACAACAATGACAAATGAATATTATTTAATTTAACTTGCCCTTTGTAAGGCATTCAGCTTTGAACAGTGACATTTATCAAAGCCTAGCATCTTCCCATCAAGTATTGATTTGGGGTCAGCTCTCAAACAGCAGACTTGAGTTCTGACACCTTGGCAGGCCCTCTCTGTCATGTCCTGCCAGATCCTCTCACTCAGTGTGTCACGCAGCGTGTAGTGTTACACGCAGACTGTTCCATGTAACGCACAGGTGATCTCAAACACATGTCACGCTGCTGCTTAGGACATATACATATCCTATACACATGCAGCACATTAACAAAGACAAATTAATATGAAGGGAACACTATTAACCCGCGTATAGTGATATCAGTTTTGTGTAGGAGGAGGCCAGAGGTTACAAAAAAACAAAACAATATCCAAACACTTTAACCAGGTGTACAGTGTGTGGTCAACTTACCTTAACATTATCTGACTTCATTTCATTTTCTCCATACAGGCCTTTCATAAAACCAGTGCTCCTGATGACCTGAAATGATTACAAATAAACACTCTGTTGTCACATACCTAAAAATTAAGAAATAAATAAAGTGGCTGATGTACATCTAGTCCTCAAATCTATTTGATGTCCCAGGATGTAGCACTAGTGGTTCTCTAACGCAAGCTTATAGTGATAAAGTTATTTTGTCAAACATCAATTTAAACTTTAACATTGCAGCTTTTTAATCTACATGTGAATTACTGTCGCTGTGTAGTTAATTCATGAGTGCTTTTTTGGCCCTAATAGTCCGGTTCAAGAGTTTATGGTGAAAATTCAGTTATTTGATGGCCCATTCTTGCAGTCAAACACATAATCAGAAGGACAGAGTCCCACATGTTGACAAGCTTCCCTTGATCAAATATACATGAACCTACAGTGAAATATTAGACTGCTAGAAGGCAAGTGAGAATGAGATCTTGAAACAGATTTTGCTGTGATTGACACCACGCGTCAAAAGGATTCTGTTGTAACAAGTTAGCAGTGTAACAGAAATAAAATTCAGTTGTGGAAAGAAGAACTTTGGTGTCTGGATTTGAGTTGGTGATGGCGCATAGAGAAGATGCTTGCCTTTGAAGTGGGAAACCTGGGTTCAATTCCCACTGTGAGACATCCACCATTGTGTCCCTGAGCAACACACTTAACCCCTAGTTGCTCCAGAGGCGTGCGAGCTCTGACATGTATAGCAATTGTAAGTCGCTTTGGATAAAAGCGTCAGCTAAATGAATAAATGTAGATTAGATTTTATTCTGACGTCAAGTATTTCATATATACTATTCTAGCTATTCTCCATCACTGAGTAACAACTTTTTTCATGCCATCTAACTCATCCTGTCCCCAAGTGGTATATCACCTCTGTGTTAAACACAGATTAGATGCTTGTGATTAGTACTGACCCCGGTCTGTACCTGACAGTCTCTTCACCTGAGAGTAACAGCTGCTGTGGCTTGCTAAACTGATCCCAGCTGCCAAGGAATCAGACATTTTAGTGTAGCATCACTTCCTTCACTAGCACCAGATCGGCTTCGAGTATATCTGTAACTTACTCATCTATGTGTTCCTCAGCTTATTTTGCAAGCAACTTTGAACAACACAAACAGATTCCAAGAACGGTAACGTTAAACACATACACAGCGATTAATTATAGCACAACGTAACCCTTAGCATTAACGTTATCAAACAGCCCAGCTACGATAAGCTGCTCAGCATCAGTGATCACAACGTGACGGGTTCGAAGAACCAGACAATATTTAGCCAAGCTAATACTAACAATAATCTCACTCTAGTTAGCTAATAGTGGACTAAACTGGTTTGTTGTCCTCATGTGGGCTCAGGTCGTGCCTAGCAACTAAACGCAGCTTTGGGTATTGCTAGCTAGCTAACTAGCTAACCCACTATGTTAACTTAATAGGAAACGTAACATGAATTGCTGGTGGACGTTAGCAACTCTTTCTTCGGTTGATGATTGACCATAATGATTTAACTGATTGACCATCCCTATTCAGTAGTGGTTTGGGGAAAAAAAAGGTATTAACGTTACAGTGAAGTTAGTGTTAGCTAGCTAACTTATAGTTAGCGTCACTTATGTTGGTTCATGCTAACGTTGGTGATATAGCCAGTTAACTGGCTCGCTTGTATGTGTGTTTTCTGACATTAGCCTTTTCATAAATATTTGGGGGGAAGAGGCTCATTGAACTACTTAAACAATCATCAGCTTGCTAACGTTATCGTAAATGTAGCAGATCAATCTCACCTCACTGAAGATGTCGTGTAGGTATCGAAACGGCGGCTTGCTTAGCAGTTTCTCCGTGAGAGGCGGTTTCTTTATCACTTTGCCCAGCGTGTCCTGGGTCTTTTTTACCACTGCCCCGTTCATGGCAGCAGTAGAAAGGAAAGCTAAACCGTTTAAGCGCAGAAGAGAGCAAGAACTAGTAGGTACAGAGAAAAACTTGGTGGCACCTCCGCTTGGTTGCTATGTCAATATTCTGCAATCCCACAGTGCATCATTAATTAAGACTGCGCATGCGCCGAGGGCTTTCGGTTGCTAAGCGCTGCGTGTGCCCATAGTAACGGCTAACAATCGTTAGACAGACAGATAGATCAACAGATAGAGGTCATCAAAACTACAACCGATGGGAGAAGCATCCCATTCTGCAAAAACATCCTATACATTCAAAGAAAGTCTCCTACAAATGCGTGTAGAGCAGAACTGGGATTCCACTGGTAATAAAGACACTAAACTTTCTTATGCACCTCAGATCAAGTCCCCAAGACTCCCTCCAGTCAGGGGGGAAAAGTTCATGACTGACAGGGGCCCCAAAAATAGGTAAAAACGTATATAACATTATATTATTTTTTTACATTATATAAACCATCATCACTGTGTATACATATATATTTTAAATATAATAACAAAATTAATCATTTCGTCTAATCAATCGTTTTTGGCAATAAAATCCTAATTGACCAAAAAGTAAACATCCATATTGACCGACCACCTGCCTGCATCTGCATGAAATGGCCTGGTCCTGCCTTAGCACACTTAGCCTATCAGTGAGGTGCCTAGTAAACCAAAATGTGGTTTTCAAAAAAGGAAAGAGAGAAAAGAGAGAGAGAGGAAAGACAAAGGAAAGGATGTCAATCTGTAACCCAGTTTGGAAACAGTAAGTAGCTCAGCCTGCATGTAAGTTACAGACATGATATGTTATGTTCATTTAGATTAAATTATGGCCATTAAATTACATATATAGATACAGACTTTATTATTCCAATCATGAATGGCAATTTATTTGAGAAGCCTGCACACACAGACACACAAATCTATTGTAACGTATGTAATCAGGTGGTGGTGATACAGAACTGTAGGTAATTTGGGTCAATGTTCTGTAGTGTCAGTATCATTTATTGGTGTATGGCATAATTTATTATATACTGTATATATGCCTGCCATTGTGGGCCCAAATAGATTTTTTTGTCATGGGGCCCAAAATTACTGGCGGCACCCCTGCCTCCAGTTCAAGGCTCTTAAAATCCAAGATCAGATCCCAGAAAAGAGTCACATGTGCCAGCTAGTCCTCCTGAGACTAACAAATCCTGCAATGTGTCACAGACATCTTTCTCAAGCCAGCACTGCTTTACAAACACCAATTAGAGTAAACCAAATGATCACTCAAAGCAAAAATACCTATTTGGAAACAAAAATAAAAAAACCTTGAATGCTATCTGGCCCTAAACAGAGGTTATGCTGTCATCAAGCAGAGGCTTGGTACTTCTTACCAAGTACAGAGCCACACCCTTGCAATTGACATCAAAAGTCTGGTTACCGAGAGAATATCCAGTATGTTAGCACTGTACAACAGGTGAGATGGAAACAGAGACACATTTTCTCCTGAAATGTGATAAATATCCAAGCAGAAGAGACCAATATTTTGAGAATTTCATTTCCATCTATTAATTCCAGATTTCAAAGAACTTGAAGATACAGCAAACCTTGCCACCAAGTAGGCCTATGTGTGTGTCCCTGTGTCCCAGCCTGAGGGAGAGTGAGTGCTTCAGCCAACTGTTGCACTTACAGTTTTTCTCAGTCGCTTTGTTGCATTTCTCAGATCAGAATTGAAATTCTCAAAACGAATTGTTCAGCCTCCACATCCTCTATTCACTTGTGCACATCATAAAAGCAATTTCTCATTACTTTGAGCAAGCTTTGACACATTGACACAAATGATTATGTACAATTGTCTGCTGTTTCCTACATTATCAATTGCTTATGTCATGTTGATCACAATGTATTAGACCTGTCTCAGTTGAATAGTCTTACCCCCCAAAACATCTAGGCATAAGTTCATGCATCACTACATGCAAAATGGTCAACCGTGTATATATATGTGTGTATATATATATATATATATATATATATATATATATATACACACAGACAGGAACGTCAGCCTAAGGTGTTTCCAATTGTAATTATTACCGTTGTGCTATTTACTGCTGTAAAACGGTCTTATCTTTTTCTTTTCTGTATCACAATGACATGGTCTGTCAACAAATTGCAGTTTGAACAGTAAAAGCGTAACTGTGAATCCTGTACAATCTTTTGCAATGTATAACTTTGTACAGGTGAAAGTGATATATGACGTATAGAAAATGTGCCGCCTTGTTCATTTTCAATCATTGTCATAAAAACCTAAATTGTACATTAGAAAATCCTTACAGACTACACTGTTATATTGATAATATGACTAAACATTTTGACTATCTTGTTCGTAAACAATGACACAAGCACTTGTCATTCTGATGGCACTGACATGTTCAATGACCTAAATATTTACTTTTGAATGATAGACTAAGGATTTTGAGCAAGGTAAGGGCTTTTGCAGGTCATCCACTCTGTTGTGCTGTTTGTAAGATCTGTTCCGAGAAATGCACTTACAGTTTTACAAATGCTGAGGATGATTCGAGAAATGTACCAAAGCGACTGAGCAAAACTATAACTTGAATGGCCTTGATTGCATTAATTCATTTTCTTGTTATGCCATATTGAAGTGTAAACATGATTTCGCTTCAAACCTCTGCTTTGTCAACATTGTTTAACTGAAACATTCATGCCAATAAAGCACACTGAACTTGATAGATTGATGATAGATAGATAGATAGATAGATAGATAGATAGACACTGAAACGTTTTGGCATCAGAGAGATCAAATATTTTGAGTATGGGATAATGTGGAAAGCTGAGTAGGTCTTTTTGAGCCAGATCTCCTAAACAATGAGCATGTTTCCGTTGTCTTAATACAGGCTATAACGCACGACTTTGATATACCTGTTTGGTGAGTTTGGTGAAAAGAAAAAAATACCTGACATAAAACAAGGTAGGCCAACAGACGGTGCTGCAACAGACGCGCTTGCTGCTTCGTGCTCTCAAGGTAAGTCATTTACTTAATGCGACTTCAAGAGACAGAAATACTTGAATTATGTATTACATTCGCTATAAAAATGACCACAGTGTTTTAATACTAGTAGGTGTATCGTAAAGAGAAATGTGTCGGCTATGGATAGGGATTGGTGAGATATTTTTTTTTTACATTTGTGTTTAAAGTTATAGTAATGGTACTGTGATTGTATCAGCATGCCTATTTCTTAAAAAAAAAGAATCAGAAAGCGTGCACACAAAGCTTTGTATTTTCTTTTTTTTAAGAAACACGTGATCAATATACATAACAGTAAGTAACAGTTCACATAAATTAATATAATAACATAGAAGCAGATGGCATTTTTAATAATACTGCAGATTTTATATGAAAATTATGTTTAGGAATTCTTTTTATATACAGCCATTTGACTCTGAGCCATGTTAAGCTTGTTTGGTGAGTCAGCATTGCAGAGAAAAACATGAACAGCAGACATCTGTAAGGGGAAAAAAATCAAATCCAATTGTCTCTCAAGTTAACATCTCACTGAATTCCACTCTAATCTAATGGCCAACTGTCACTGCAGTTCTCTCAAAAGACAGGAGTGATGTTTCGCTGGGTCTTGTTTGCTTTGTTCTTTGGTATCTGTGCCAGTGCCGGAGAACAGAAAAGAAAGAAGGCAAATCCTCAGTCCTTGTCAAGAGGTGAGTGACCCTCCTTTCCTCAAGCATGCACAACTGTAGTTTCAATCTCAGCAATCATCAGCAAACAGAAGTCATAGCTGTGAGCGCTAGTTTGGGTCACTCTACACACAAATAAAGGCCTGTCTTTGAATTTTAAGTGAACCAAGCAGTGTGCCACATTCATTGTTCTTCATTGCTGTTTTGTCCTGCAGGTTGGGGGGACAGAATTAGTTGGGTCAAAAGTTATGAGGAGGGCCTGTCAAAGATGGTCGAGAGGTAAGACTCTACACCTTGATAACAGCCTTGAATTAAAAAAAAAAAATCTGTTTGGATATGAGTTTTGGCTGTGAGAAAAGAATGTAAATGGGAAAGTGTAATTTGTGCCCTTTATTTCTTTGATGTAACTGCATCCTCAAGCTGGGGGTCTAACAGATGGCATGCATATACATTACTGTCATCTGATCACAGACTTTCTCACTTACAATACAGCTCCTCAAAATACTGCTGTCTGATTATAGATATGTTTATAACAACAACAACAATAATAATGTATTACAAAAGGATTCTTTGACAGACTTCCCAGCAACCATTTGACTAGAAAAAAATATATACATTTGTGAATCTCATACAACAATTTATATGCAGTTTGCGAGCAGGATGTATTTTCCTCTTAATGTGTCCATACGGATGATGAGGTGACGTAGAAAGGAAAGAAAAAAGAAGAAAGACTTGTTCAAGTTGGTTAAAATACTGTATAATTCATTACAACATTTGCTCTATTACTAATGGAATGCAGCACCATTAATGTAATGTGTGGATATAGAAAAGTCTGGCATGGGGACCCGTTTCTCAATGATCATGTTGCAAGACCGCGCAGACACCCATCATTGTGCTTACTGTGTTCACGAATGTGTTGAGTTGTTTCTCTGTGGTTTTGCTCTCACAGTAAGAAGCCTCTGATGGTCATCCATCATCGAGACAACTGCCCGCACAGTCAAGGTACTGCAGTAACTCTGGTTTACTACATCTGAAAAACATTGAATATAAAAATATAGGCTTGCATATCCTCCACTGTCCTTCTAACCCAGACTTGGGCTTGGTGTCATGGGGAACACAATGGGTGTGTTCCGTAATACCTGCCAAACAGGCAATGAAAATAGGTTAGAATTACATTCATTTATCACGCAGCTGGTTTCCTGGAAGTAAGCACAATGGAAATCTCTGCTGGCGTTTCTAAACACATAAACAATAAAGACCACCTACAGGGCAAAATCTGTTTTTTTCTTTGGATTTTTGTCAGGTTTGAGGGGAAAAAAGCTGAATATTTTACAGCCTGCCTTTCAAAGTCTGAACATACCAGTACTTCATTTAATTGTGAAAACCATTATTATTCTGTTTGATTCACAACTCAATTACAGTATTTGAGGACAATCGAAATAAGTTGGGTTTCATACATTTATAGTTTATTACATTGTGTAATCTCCGGCAATGAAACTAGGCATGAATAATCTGCTGGCCCCACCTTCAAAACTTGTTTCTAACTTGCCTGAAACCCTCTGTGTCAGTCAAATTGTACATAAATGCATGGGCAGGACTTTTATGAACACAGTAAGTGAAGATAATTGGCCACATTTACAATTCCTGCTTGCACATGTGTCCCTGTTTGAATTATTAAAGTTGGGTTGAAACTGCATGCATTTTTGGGGAAGCATATGAATATTGAGCATATGTATAACTTTAATGATTACTTAAAAGCCAGTTTTTTTTCAATGTCAAATCTAAGATAAACAAAATTATTTCAACAGCACTGAAGAAGGCATTTTCTGCTGACAAGTCCATCCAGAAAATGGCCAAAGAGGATTTCATCATGCTCAACTTGGTGGTGAGTCCTTTGTGAATATGTGAAGAAACCTTTTTTCACTGTAAAACAGTGTAGACATGTGGAAGCTGCGTTAAGTAGAGAAAAACACTGACCGAGTGACTGATATAAAGGGGTAATGTGATGAGTGAGCATCTTGGTACCTTCTTCTGGTATAAGCATTTTACCAGTCTGTATGGATTTTTTTAGCACTTTGTAAATTGATATGCAAATTAGTCTACAATCTTGAGGTGAATCATGGACAGTGTAGCAATATCAGGTATAATTAAAGGTTTAAATGATGTGCAAAGAACAATAGCATCTGTAAGCAAATTAGTACAAAATACGTTTTACATACTGTCTGAGTTTATGTCATGCTACTGTTTTTTTTTAATAGGAGGAAACTACGGACAAGAATCTGGCCGTTGATGGCTACTACATTCCCAGAATCCTTTTTGTTGGTAAATACTTACACCATTTATCATAATTTAGAATTCATTTAATCAATTTTCAGTCTAATAAGACAGGCAATTAAAAATATTTGAATCGATAAGACTGGGTCAAATAGCAAAACTTAGATCATTTTGAGATATTCAAATCTCTCACAGTATATTTTATGTATTTTTAACAGAATAAGGATTCCAGTATAAGAGATTCATTGCATTCACATGGCGCTGATGAGAAGGAAAGAGATAAGGGCTAACAGACTCCGTAGTTTTGCATATTAATGGTGGAGTGGGAGGTGAAACTAGGACTTTTCACTCAGTCCCAAATAACCACTAGTCCTAAATAACCAGATTTCACCACATGATGTCTCACTGAAACTGACACCTGTCATCTGTTTTTTTCCTCTTTCCTCTACCTTCCCACACTTTCTCTCTTTTACTTTGACATTCACTGTTCTCTCCCTCCTTGTCAATTCATATTTTCATTCCTAGTTGCTTATAATGAGTGTCAGAAAAACACGAGCAGTTAACAAAATGAACAGCACAAGAGTTATTACAATCAGATAATGCTGATCCCTCTCCTCAATTTATGTGTGTGACATGTCTTTCTGCAGATCCATCCAAGACTGTGCGCACAGGTATAGCAGGAAAGTACAGCAACTACCGCTACACCTACAAGCCTGGTGACATGGCACATTGTGAGTGACCGTCCACTCTCTCTAATGATAGTTTGGGTGGGGGTGCATGCCTCACCTGTCAGCAGTGTGAAACTTCAGACTGTTTTTGTGAGATGGGTCTGACAGAGAGAACGACTGACTTCATATGAATGTTAGCGAGGGACTGCAGGTTTCAGGTTTGAGCAGGGTGGCAGTTGAGGAGAGAAGTTTTGCAGCTGTGGTGCTCTAATTACTTTTAGAGATAAGCGCGTTCACGTATTATGTTTGACTTAAAGATGAAAAACCTGTGTTTACATTCAGTATTGATGTAAACAAACCTTTAACTTGAGCATAAAATATGTATAGCTTGGCCTTAATTGTTGTTCAGCATAAAAGATCTGTTAATCAATTTGAGGGTCGGGTTTCAATCTCGCATTAGATTTTTGGTACTGAGGCTACATTGTTGTTCACATTTGGATAACACATTGTGCCTTTAATATATAAACACAAATTACATTTTGCCATATGATGTCGGTCTTATCAAAATGAACCTAATTGGGTGTAATGGTATTTGTAGGTCCAGTTTATCATTAAACTTGAATGGACGTTTTGGTCAAACAGAAGAAGGATTAATGCACCAGGGTATTATGATCTTGGAAGACGACTATCTAACTACTTTACTTTGAACTTAAAGTTTACACAGGCTAACATGATATAGACTTCATAATGGAAAGCTCCACTGGGCCTCTGCAGCTATGCTTCCAAGATATGTCTATAAAACTGCGCTCACTTTCAATTTGGTTCAACACAAAATTTGACCTGATGATGGAGCTAGATGAAACAGCAGGGGAACATTATGCCAATGTGCAGCATCACAGATCTGCTAGACTTAGCAAATATCACCTTTGATGCTACATTTTACCAATAATGATTTAGTTACTTCAGGTTTTCTGTGTGTTCATATTTCAGTGTAGACCAAAATGGTGAACCCACAGATCGACATTGCCGTTGCTTACTCGCTACTTTTCTCAAGAAATAGGTTTCATAGGCTTACACTTCTGGCTTCATAACAAATATTGTTGTGTGAGACACTATTCATGTCTTGCTAGTGTAAAGTATTATTATCTAGAAACAAGATATCACTATTTTTATCTTAATTAATTTGATGATCTAATCTTGAGTAGGCCTATTCAATGGCTTGTAATTGAATTATCTACATTAAACAAAGAGAGACTGTAGCATTTCTGCAGTGAGACTTTTGTCAGTAAGGAAAAATATTTATGATCTTTATTCTTATTTGTCCTCTCTTTTTTTAACAGTGGCCGAAAACATGAAGAAAGCCAAAATGTTGTTGCACACTGAACTCTAAGATGGCTCAAGCTGACATCAGACTTCTCTCCAACCTCCAGTCATGCTGGGCAACCTGCTCAGTGGTCAGCCCTGAAATGTTTACATGCTCTTCAGAGCCCAATAAAACAAAAATGAACGAATAGAAAGTAAAATGTCCTATTTTTGTCACACCATATTAATTGTACTAGGAAATGAAGCTTGCATACAGGGTGCTTAACGTGTTGATGTGTAGCTGCTCTTTTAAACTTAAATTCAAATCTAATACATAATGAACATGAATAGCAAACATTGTATCTTATTCTGATCTCTCACCGACAAAACAATGAAATGCTATTGTTCGTGGCTTTTAAAGGTATAGTTTTGAAAATATAAAGAACACACTGAACCTGTTGGAATGGAAGGAGATTCACATGAAATATATTTGGAAAGTGTGTGTTAAGTCACAAAATCTGGGTGTGGGTTTTCAAAAGAGCTCTTACTAAAATAGCCCTGTTGAAGTGACCTGTTTTTCCATGTGTAGCATGCTTTAACCACTAGGTGGCAGCATAATATTAATGTGGAAGGACTCTTTCCACTGAAAGTTGATCATATTTTGATGATAAGCACAGGTTTAATATATGTAATTACATACATCACACATACAGGCCACAATGTGTTCTTACCTGCATTGAATAGACAGTTTATCTTCTATATAGTATAGTGTATATTCTACTGTGTGTTTATCAAACATCTCTTGATGCTTGACAGGCATTATGTTGTTGCACATGCAGTCATTACTTGACCTATAGTTCCTACACAATTCTCCAAAGACGTGCATTTGGTCTCACGCTGTATCTCTGTTCCTCTTGTTAGATGCTTCTCCCCGACAACTGCAAAACAACCGTTCCTAAACAACTCAGGCCTCGACAGAATGGGACCGCGCTGCATTGCCACAAATAGCCCAGATGCAGTTTTTGGCTGTCATAGCTAGGATTAATGAGCTGTTTTAATTGTTATGGCTCCACTGTGGTGAGCATTCTTGTGCATTCACCTTTTGAAAGAAAAGTAAGCTGACTGGTATAGACAAAAATCAGCCAGTGTGACTGTTCTGCAAACTTGCAATAGTGTCATCATACACTCAAAACCTTATTATAACTAATAAGATGCAACCTGAAAACCCCATTTGTTTTCTTTAAATTCAGAGAAAAACAGAAAACAGAGAAACATTTTAAATGGGTCAGTATAAGTTTCATTCCTCAGTATATTTTTTCCTTAACATCCACTAAAGAAACTGATCACTGAGAAATGATTAAATTATTCACACTTCCGTTGCATTTTTTTCCACTTTTCACAGTCAGAGCAGACATCTGAAGCATTGTGTGGCTGCATTTCCCTCAAGTTTTTTAAGATTTCTTTCTTTTAGGTGGACCCAAGATGATTCGCCAGAAACTCTTGAGAATTTTGAACTATCCCCGCCCTCGCTACTTTTCTCAAGAAATAGGTTTCATAGGCTTACACGTCTGGCTTCATAACAAATGTGTTTTCGACTCAGACTTTCCTATATCCTGGGCCTGTCTGGCTCATCGCAGTGCTCTTTCAATGGTCTGTAAAAAAACACTCTGCTTCCAGAACCCTTTCCAACACTTCATGCCTCCAAAAATGGTAATATTGCTTTACGAATATGATGCATGAATACCATTACTTAACAGAAAAATAGGAATGATTGGAAAGTGTAAATAATACAAAAAAATTTTGCAGATAATTACCAAGACAACCTCCCTAAATAAGTTTGGCATGCTAAATGTTTGACTATATGGCATGCACAAGCAAACAGTACACTTGTTAAAGAAAATGTAAATCCAAACATTTGTGTATTTCAAATAGACAAAACTTTGTCTATTTTTTTTTTTTACAATGCCTAAACTTTCTCTAGGTTACCTGTCAAACACAAGGTTGTTGTTCAACGCCTACTGCAAGCCCGAAGGTCTCATTTTTCTTTAAAATTCTTTGCCAGAGCTCCTAACCTTGAACAAACAACTCAGGGACACTTTGTGTGGGATGTCAGTGTCAGAGTGTTTCACACGCAACACACGCAATTTGAAGGACAGTGTGACAGAAAGAAATACTGTCTCACAAGGTCTGACAATATATGTAAGTTTAGGCTGTGATTAGAGGTGGCCTTAGCTTTGCTTCACCTGTTTCAACTGAACCAGGGCCCCGACTGTCTTGTAAGAATTTAATAATTCACCCATTTTTTAAATAAACTAGGCGGGCCTACTTATTTCACTCAAAGTGTAGAGACATGGACACAGGAAGAAGGGATGCTGCAACCCCCCAGTGTGTTGGTGTTCAAGGTAGCTGTCTGCTGTAGTGTAAAACATTCTCAAATTGTTGGAATTTGTTGTTAATAACTATTAGATTTACTACTATATTATTAGATCTTGGCCATTCAAAAACATATCGTATGACATCATTATATAGAGATGATATCACTATAGTACTACTATAAAGAATTACTATAGAAAAAACGCAAACAATTACTATAACATCATCATAGTACTACTATAGGAATGTTCTATATTTTGTGCAAAAAACAGAAACACTATATAATATAATAATACTTTTTAAGATATAGGCTATAGTATTAGTATTGAAATATTATGGTGCGTTCCATTTTCCTTGGAAGTCGGAGGTCGGAGCTGGGAATGACAAGTTGTAGTTACAAGTCTGAAAACCTTGCTCGGCCAGCCACTGTGTAGAACTAGCCAGAGATGGGGACTCGAGTTTGACACTCGGACTCGGAAGAGCGGGACTTGTGAACAATGTTTATTTTTAGGAAACGTCTGAGGAGCTTGCTGTTATTCCCCTCTCTGCGTTACCTATAACCTGCCTACATAACATGTAGTATCAGCTGCGCGCAGCCACACATGAGAGAGGACCACAAAAATGGGTGGCTTCTGAGCCATTCATCATAAATTTTGGCTTTATTAATTTCATACAAGGCCCACCAAACTTGTGGTGGTTGATTAACGTAATGAGTTATGTCCCGCTGGCTGCCATCATGTTAATTATTAACGTTGGCTGCTAACAGATTACAGGTTTTATTGTTGATCATGCGACGTTACAGTTTTATTTAGTTATAACGTTATAACGTGTCATTAGTTGTAGACGCATTAGGATACATGGTTGTGCTCTGTAAGTGAAAAACGGGTTGTGCTCTGACTTGACTTGGACTCTAGCTCAAAGACTTGACTTGGACTCTTGCTCAGAGACTTGAGACTTGACTTGGACTCTAGCTCAGAGACTTGAGACTTGACTTAGACTCTAGCTCAGTGACTTGAGACTTGTCTTGGACTCTTGCTCAGTGACTTGAGACTTGACTTGGACTCTAGCTCAGAGACTTCAGACTTGACTTGGACTCTTGCTCAGTGACTTGACTTGGACTCTAGCTCAGTGACTTGAGACTTGACTTGGACTCTTGCTCAGTGACTTGAGACTTGACTTGGACTCTAGCTCAGAGACTTCAGACTTGACTTGGACTCTTGCTCAGTGACTTGACTTGGACTCTTGCTCAGAGACTTGAGACTTGACTTGGACTCTAGCTCAGAGACTTGACTTGGACTCTTGCTCAGAGACTTGACTTGGACTCTTGCTCAGAGACTTGAGACTTGACTTGGACTCTAGCTCAGTGACTTGAGACTTGACTTGGACTCTTGCTCAGAGACTTGAGACTTGACTTGGACTCTAGCTCAGTGACTTGAGACTTGAATTGGACTCTTGCTCAGAGACTTGAGACTTGACTTGGACTCTTGCTCAGAGACTTGATTTGGACTCTAGCTCAGTGACTTGAGACTTGACTTGGACTCTTGCTCAGAGACTTGAGACTTGACTTGAACTCTAGCTCAGTGACTTGAGACTTGACTTGAACTCTAGCTCAGTGACTTGAGACTTGACTTGGACTCTTGCTCATTGAGTTGAGACTTGACTTAGACTCTTGCTCAGAGACTTGACTTGGACTCTTGCTCAGTGACTTGAGACTTGACTTGGACTCTAGCTCAGTGACTTGAGACTTGATTTGGACTCTAGCACAGAGACTTGAGACTTGACTTGGACTCTTGCTCAGAGACTTGAGACTTGACTTGGACTCTTACTCAGTGACTTGAGACTTGACTTGGACTCTTGCTCAGTGACTTGAGACTTGACTTGGACTCTTGCTCAGAGACTTGACTTGGACTCTTGTTCAGAGACTTGAGACTTGACTTGGACTCTAGCTCAGAGACTTGAGACTTGACTTGGACTCTTGCTCATTGAGTTGAGACTTGACTTAGACTCTTGCTCTGAGACTTGACTTGGACTCTTGCTCAGTGACTTGAGACTTGACTTAGACTCTAGCTCAGTGACTTGAGACTTGACTTGGACTCTAGCACAGAGACTTGAGACTTGACTTGGACTCTAGCTCAGTGACTTGAGACTTGACTTGGACTCTTGCTCAGAGACTTGAGACTTGACTTGGACTCTTACTCAGTGACTTGAGACTTGACTTGGACTCTTGCTCAGAGACTTGAGACTTGACTTGGACTCTTGCTCAGAGACTTGAGACTTGACTTGGACTCTTGCTCAGAGACTTGAGAGCATCTCTGCCACTAGCCAGGTTAGCTATTGTAATGCCGGTTGATAAAAAACTGCATTGAGTGGTATAGGGAGCCTAAGTCACTTGCTTCCGCTTCCGACCCATGACCTTATATAGGAAAAAAATATGTATGGTTGACAACGGCGAGAGACAACTTATTTTTTGATCCTGTTTGAACTGTGTCCTGAATTACACGTTTGTCAATTTAAGATAATTTTGTCCATCAAGAAAGTTGCAGTTTGTTGTAAATCCGTAAAGTTAGTTTTGTGTGAAACCCGTTCAATGAACTTCATCTCTCGTCTCGCATAATATACGTCACCAACATGTTAGCGTGGTAATGCTAACTAACGTTCATTGCTTGGTTGTTTCTAGCTAGGTAAGTTAGCTATGTTCCAGACAGAAATGTATCTCACCTGATGTGTTTACTCCAGCCACTCTCGGTCCTTTTATCACATCATCCTGTCATGTAAGTTTTTTGACGCCAGCTTCAGTAACGTTAGCTTCAGTTGAGAGAAAAATTTACGACGTCACAT